CATTTGTAGAAATGCAAGGTTAGTTGTCAATATGCATAACTGTAATAGACTCTATAATAATCCTTATCTTGTCAAGAAAATGAAAAATTACATAGGGCTGGCAGGATAAGGGTTAATGTCCTACAATTATTTATTAAAAGATTCAGGAGTTAAACAGATGTGGGGGAAAAGTGCAGTAATACAGTTCCATAACAGTTCCATTCATACTGTTCTTGGCGTTCCCACTGCAAATAATAAATGACGTACTCGCTATCTCACTGACTTTAATAAAATAGTCATCCGAGACACTGTACAGCGACATTCTAATTGGGAATCTAGACCATCTGGGTACATGTACTTAGTGACATAATTTTGACTTGGTACATTTATACAAAGTGCGTGACAGCCAGTAGTAGCATTTGCTTTAACAAGGAACTCTAGTTTAAAATAGTGAAACTAAGATGGGAAGGGCCAACTTTAAGTGTTGAATGAGTCTGATTTAGGAGTTCTGACCTTCGTTGACCCCAAGTTTGGGTAGTTCCACAATGCATTATTATAGTACCGGTATACAACTATGTACGAGTACGTGTTCTTACTGCATTTCATTGTTTCGGCAGAATTCTAACTGAAGTCGTTTTTTTTTTTCAAACGCGATTTAAAATTTCTTTGTTTGATTTCACAGAATAAATGATGCGATCATTAAAGTAAATGAGACTGGTACACTCGGAGTGCCTCATGCTGTAGCTGTGGACGCATTGAAAAAAGCGGGTGAAGTTGTCTGCATGGTGAGTGATTCCTTCTTTTCACTGTCAATTATTTGTATCTATAATGTTAATTGAAATACAGTTGCAATATTTGTTATTCAGCAATGTTTTTTTTGTTTTTTTCTTTCTTGTAGTTATTGCACTACAGTTTTAAACTGCTTATAGTTTTGTCTATAGCGACTGCAGCAACTGCTTTTACATGCCAGTAGATTTAACATTGAAATAATTTTTTGTTCCATTTTAAGTAAACCGTGGTTGTGTTCTTAACTGAAATTGGTGATTACTAGCATAAATAACTACACATACTATGAAAATGAAACTATTAATCAGCCTTAGGGCTGCAGGTTGTGTTGATTTAGTTTAACCTTTTCACCACCAGTTCCCTCTTTTCATCACAAATTCACAAAATAACCCTGTTTATAGTCTACATGTTCCTTCAGAAGATTAGAACAAAAATTGCCAAATTTTTTAAGTAAAAACTGAACATTGACTCAAATTTTGTCTATTTGCTCCAAAATAAAAGTTCATTTCCAGAAATATTGAATATAAGAAAAAAGCGCAGAATAATTTGGGCGAGAATCTGGTGATGAAAAGGTCAAACGTGGGGTTGAAAATGATAAAATCATTTATTTTATTTATTTTAATTTTCTGTTCATGCCATATTTCATACCGCAATGTTTGCTGTCTGTTTTACTGTTCTTGTCTCTATTGTTCCATGTACAACATGGCAGGTCAAAATAACATTACCAGGAGACGTCAATTTTGTGTTGAGGGACTCATTAAAGCATAGCACCATGTGGTGTTTCGATATGGGACACATAGGGCCAAATACAATGCTTATAAAATACATTGTTTACACAAAATTTGAACACGCGCTGAGTGACGACTAGCGATTTAAATATCAATAGAAGATGAATTTCTCTTCATATTTATTCCTTCTATTTATATAAATTGTCATGTGGCAAATTTATCCCAATAAAAAAAGTATGTCTGTCATGAGGGCATAGTTACTAGTCAGGTATGCAGATGCATGCATCAGTACATAGTTACTGTGTTAATTCGTTCCACTCCCAATACCTTACATATTTCAAATAACGTCAGTTATTATACCAGAGTTTTATAAAAATGTTACGTGATCGTCTCAATAGTCTCTGAAGAAAATTTTCTCGTTTTCAAAACTGTGTTTTCTCAAAATGAGTTTGTTATTCTACATTTTGTATCTACATCTAGCCAAACAGCATATCCTTTTGATCTTACTTGTTCCAATCATGTAAATATTCAACCAAAGTATGGAAGTTGATATTAACATTGTTATTGCGAATCTTACAAAAAATCAACTGCTTTCGTGTGTATGTCTGGTTTTAGTATTACCGTACCATCCATTATATCGCGTGTAATCAATGTGCAGTAACACAGTTCCATAACAGTTCCATTCATACTGTTCTTGGCGTTCCCACTGCAAATAATAAATGACGTACTCGCTATCTCACTGACTTTAATAAGATAGTCATCCGAGACACTGTACAGCAACATTCTAAATAATTAACACATGTCATTGCATAAGTGAATTGTCAGAATGGTTTGAAAAAATAGACAGCCCTCGGTTGACGCTTCTCAGTCGGTTAAAAACTTACCTTTCCATGTGCTTTCTAATAAAGCTAAATTAAGTTTATTGAATAATCTTGAAACTTGAGTTGTCGTGCATCGTGTGTTCAAATTTTGTGCCAAGTGTTTGACCAAGATTCTTTATCTGCTTGGAACCAATACAATACACAATGTGACAACTGGTGTACAAGATAATTAAATACATTTACACACTGAATCCAATATTTTCG